TTCGTCGCCTTTGAGCCACTTCAGCAATGTCTTCTTGTCGTAATCGCTCGAATATTTCATTAGTTTTGGAGATTATAAGTAGATGTCCTCTTGCCACCTAGTCAAAGAGCAGCAGAACTATACCTAGCTCTCCGTAAAAATGAGTTGGCCTCCAGAAACGTTCTATTCTTGAGGAGTCCAGGCACGCTTGTTCCAAGTAGACCGGTTTCCTTCGATATCGACGTAGTTATGGAAAGTGACGAAAGCAATTCCGTTTATCTGCACACTGAGTTGTGATGTGGGCCGTAATCCAGAGGAAGCAGGAAGTCCTGCGTTGACATCGGGTCCTGCGGCCGCAACAATTGTCATTGCAGCTCTGTTGACACAAAGTCCATCTTATCGACCTGTATGTGTTTCTCATTGGCATTGTCCTGCACAGTGCAGAGAGGATCGATCCAAAGAATGCATATACCCAGCTTCTGACAAAGCCGGATTGGATCTTTGATAGAAGTCGGCAGTTCACTCCAATGGCGCCAAAGCGCTTCATCTTGTTCAAGGTAGCCGGAATTAGATTGCGTAAGTTGAAGCTGTTGGATATCACCCCAAACATAGCCCAAAGGGAAGAATTCACTCTAGGAAGTCGTTTTGATGATTCTTCCCAATTCAATATCCACGAGGCAGATGTTATGAAAACTCCAGTCTCCTAATATACAGGATGAACAGGAATCTGAGTGAACGTCTTCACAGAGCGACAGCCAATGAGAAAGTAGCTCTACATCAACCTGATGATTTTGTCAGCTATTAGGGCCACAGCTCAAGCGCCACCACACTAGCCACTGCATCAGGCCTAATAATAGGGGTATGATGACTCTTCCTCGATAGTATATAGATAGGAGCCTCCTGCTCTTTCAATAGACAGAGTTCTCTTCTTCAATATATGAGCACTTTCCTCAGCTGACAGATTTCGAATCATTCGCCCTCGATGTCATTCTTCGTGCGCTGAATGGGCCGCTACGACAATATCCCGATTGTAACCTGGACGAATGTAATTGACCCAACAGAAGTCTGGAATCCCGGGCGAAATATCGGAGACCCAAAATGCTAGTGTAGACTTCCTCCAAACCCTCTTTAATTAGACTTGTCCCATGTTGGAATCGCCCGCAAGCTAAGCCTGTAGATAAAGTTCAAGTGTAGGGAGTTTTGTTGAGCGTTTCTAGGGCCAATTTGCAGAATGGACAGCACCTTCGATATCGAAGGTCATTGAAATTTCACAGGATTTGGGGACGTTCGTCCATTTGCCGGTATCGGCGATCCGTTCGGGTCCTACTGGTTTCAAACTCGGCGTCGAAGAGGAAGCCCTTGCTGGTAAAACATACTTCGTCGCCCAGATCTTGCCAATTTCCACACATTTGTTCACGTAGCCTTCTTTAATTTATCTTCCCTGAGTAATATACTGTCTTGGATGTCTTGACATCAAGCGGTGGGCATGATTACAGAAACGCCGACAAAAACCGAAACCACGTTACAAAGTACAATGCAAGAATCGAATAACGAAAGATGACGTTGAATTTAGAGGGATATTTGTATACTTATGCTTCTAGAGGATCTAAGCAGCGGAGTAGCTAAGTAGAAAAGGTCTACCTTAACAAAGAGTGCCATGAGTCCATGCTCAGGATTTTCTTGGTAGATCCTCCATGGAGCGCAGCCATAATTCGCATTGCAAAGCAAAAGTACCTAGCGTAGAACTACTCCAGTTCGTCCCTAGGTTTCTGTAGACTCGCGTTCATGAACGTCGAAGATTAGTGTTGTGGATGAGGAGCGATGTACCTGGCGGCATGATGCCAAGATGGAGACTTCTCAGGCTCGGCATCGGGGGTTCCTTGTGCAGGCAGGTGGTGACCTCATGATTCATCACCTGTTTTCGCGCATCAAACGCGAAATATCGTGAAGCTCCAAATCAATCCACCACTTCTTCTATGAAAGGTTATTGCTAGAGAAACCAATATCCTTATTGCGCCCTCAGGATTTCTCTTTTCAAAATGGTCCTGATCCAGAAGTGGCTGCCACCGTCGCGGGAGAATTGGGAGTTGATCTCTTCGGCCTGGCAATTCTTCCCTTTGGTAAGAAACTCCACTGAAGTTGCCTACTTCAATTCCTCTATCATTTACTGACTTCACTCGAATATGCTAGATTACCGCTTTCCAATGGGTTCTCGACTGGTATCCTCAAGGCAAGACGTCCAACAATTTCCGCTTTAACATCCCTGGAAAACTGGCGTGGGCAACAATGGAAGCGCCTGGCTTTATCACACTGCTATACATTATGTTCACTCTTCCCAAGGAACTGGGTATATCAGAACTGCCATGGGGAAACTGGACAATGGCTGGCATCTTCGTAAGGCTCTCTAGTATTCCACAAAACCACGCCCTGGCGAAATGCCACAGTCTTGAAAAACAACGATGCTGACTCCTGCTGTCCCCGATAGACAATCCATTACCTCTATCGTGCGCTCCTTGCCCCTCTAGTACTAAATCCGAGCATGTCCCCGATACATCCACTAGTATGGGCTATGGCTCTCGCTTTCCAGCTCACAAACGCAATTTCCATCGGCGGATGGCTCGCTGGTTATGGCCCAACGACTGCATATGACTGGGCTGGACGCTTCCACATAATCCAGGTTGGACTAGCCATCTGGGGATCGGGGCTGTTAGCCAACATATACCATGATGATGTTCTGCGTGAGATTCGACGCGCCGTTGATCGTCGACAACGTCAAGAAGCAGAGAAGACGGGCAAGGCGCCGGAGAGCGTTGACAAGATTTACATGTTGCCGGAGAATGGCCTATTCCGATTCGTGCTCTACCCACACTATTTGTGTGAGTGGATTGAGTGGGCTGGCTTTTGGGTCGTTGGAGGTTGGAACTGCACACCTGCCAGGAGCTTCTTGATAAACGAGATAGCAACCATGCTACCCAGAGCACTTCAAGGTTGGAGATGGTATGTAGCCAAGTTTGGGAGGGACAATGTGGGAGATAGGAAAGCCATAATACCGGGCCTGCTGTGATGGAGGAAACCGAGGGAAAAAGTGTCATGAACATTAGAATGAAGCAACGGCCAGCCTGAGTCTGTCCTATCTGGTTCGTCTATCAATTATCAAGGAAGATTCGAACTGACGCTCCTCTTTATTTTACAGAGCAAGAGGAACTCAGTCCAGTCAAGCCCACGACCAATGCCATTTCCATCCGGAGTATTGTTTTGTCTTACCTCCGCTTTGTGCCCCAAAAATTAAAACCATCACTCTTCTACCACTCTCGCACGCGACCAATATTCATTCTTGCCATCCGTGATTGCGCCTAGTCACCATGGAAGGCCAGGGCGGCAGTAACCTGAGCAAACAATTCCGCGGCTTGAATCTCTACCATGACTTTAGAAAGAAGTATAATGAAGACCAGACGGACGATTCCGATGAGAAGCAAGATTCAGTCGTTGATTCCACTGTGGAATAGGATACGATGGAACGAACCAAGGTTCTTGATCACGCGGATGAAATCGTCTTTCAGTCGTCGCTGGCACAATACGTGGAGGTAGTGCTAGAGAGAACCTAGCTCTTTTGCATCTCAGACTAACTTCGAATCACGACGTGCCCTTCTTTTTCACCGAAAATCATTACAGTCGACATCGTACAGTTATTTGAACTCCTTTTATGGATTGATGTACGCCGATTGCAAACCTGCACGATTGTACTGCTGCCGAATGCTCGTAGACAACCACCCAAGTGCCAGTCAACTCGTGCATGCGGATAGCACCTATCGTTGGATTCACTTACTTTGTAGAGAGAACTTCCGAAGAGTCCTCCAAGATCCTATTAGCAGAGGTGGGACCCTTTCCATGTAAGACAGAGTTCATAGGGAATGAGACAATAGGGTGTGTGACGACTGAAGGGTGGCGTTTGTTTGGGCTGGGAATCTGGAGAAACTTGGGAGTCCGGGAGGAGCCGAAGCACCAAAGAGGGCACTGTGTTCGTATGGCATCTTCAGTCGTTCCCAAAGAAGTAAAACAAAGCAAATTGGAGAAGGATCCGACACAGAGATGGAGGGCTTTTAAACTCTTCTGTGAGAGGGTTTACTGAGCTTTGCGAAAATCTTGTCCTTTGTTCATTGGGCATCCAGAACAAGTTGCGTATTAGCCTAACATGTTTATCTTCATCATTTACCGCGGGAACTACCCCAGTGCTTTATCAGGGGCCTTGATTTAAGATACTACCATAGAAACCTAACCAAACTCAGCCTCGCTCCCTGTACATCTAGCAGGCTATTCATTTTCCTTTCTTTAATCGAAAGCGTAGAAGAACCTCGTTCCCATTCCCCATTCCCACTTCACTTTTTTGACTTATACATATCGGTCTCGTAGAACTGCAACATTTGTTCCTCCCCCGGCTGGATGATGCCGAAGATTTTACCTTCCATAGTTTTCGGATCCAGGAGGTCGGATATTTATTGAGAAAATCTTTATCTAGTGCTCTGCCGTTGCCTAAAGTAACGTGGGTTTGTGAAAAGCTTCCTGTTCAGGAGTACTTCGTAGTTCAAATAGAAACCCTATTTCAGCGTGAGCCACAGTGATTGCATTGGACTGAAGTCAGTAAATATCCTTGTGGGAATTTCCAAACCCTTAAGATTAAGAGCCCAATTCAAAGGCGATGCATAGAAAAAAGGTTGAGGATCCGATTTAAGGCTTCATGTTTCGAATATAAGGCGAGTTTGAGAAGAAGCAAATCTGCAGTTGATAGTCAACCGAGAGCAAATTACTGGAAGCAAAAATTGATGTTATGGGAGTAACGCTGGTGTCGCAAACGAGATAATAGCCCAGAATACTTGGAAGTTTTGAGTAATTTTTGCCTTTTTCACCTTGATGACTGAGATGTTGAAAATGAATGTTCCGGGTGCTCGGCTAGATACGGTGCACCTACAAAGCACTAAGCCAAAGCAAAAGAGTAATTAAATGAATATCAAAGAAGCAAAAAGCATTCCCTGTGGGGCTCGAACCCACAGCCTCCAGATTAGAAGTCTGGCGCGCTACCTATTAGTTTATTAGTGAATGTCAATTCAATGTTAGGTAGGTAAACTTACCATTGCGCCAAGGGAACTATTTCAGATATATTCAAGAAGAATTTAAGCCTCGCAAAAACTAATCTAAATATATACAGCTAACTTTCCCAACTTTTTTGCCACCTTAAACCCAAACAAATTGCCCCAGGGATATTTCGAGATGTCATGGCGTGTCCGCCGATTGAACGTTATTTTCAACATCACCAAACAGCCCGTCTCATGAGCACCTAAACTAATATCGCTTTGAGCTGCAAAGTTTGTGAGTCACTGCTACAGGAGGAGGTCCCCAGCTTACCGCAAAACTGATTTAGTGGGTTTTTAGACAGCCCAGACATTGTGCCGCATCCCAGCGCTGCGCTCGCACAAATCAGCATCAATGGGCCGGGCAGAATTCTCCCTTGGCAACTTGGTTTCCAGTTCCTAGAGTTACTTCATTGAAGGACTTCCGTGCTGCTATTGCTAATTCCGCGTTCACACGTTTCGGCACCTCCGTAACGCTAACCTCGCATCGTGCATATCTATCACAACGTAAAACATCTCTGCGATTCATGTCACAGTTCGGAATTCCTACTAGATCGAGAACCATACAGAATCAATCTTATTTATCGGAATTCGAGAACGATATCCACTGCAAACGGCGAACCGACTTGTATTTAAGGAAGAAAATATTCTTCGAACAATCACCCACGAAGTCTTGGCTCGTCTTTATCTAGCGTTGATATAAGAGAGGGAGCCAATCTGCCCAAATTCTGCGTGGGACAAATATCAATTCTGTGGATTGGTACCAAAGGCTTTCAAGCGTACCTAAAACCCATCCGCTGTTACATATCAACCACCGATTTTCAATCCCACCAAAGAGTTCCTTCGGGAACTCTACACCCAACTACAATATTGATTAGAGCCAAACGCCAGAATGCCACCAGGATGTGATGGTGAAAGAGCTCAACAGGTGCAAGATTCATAGCCGCTCGGCATTCTCTTACCATTCTAAATGGCCCAAATAATTTTATATATCGTAATGGTGTTCCGTGGGTTGAGTGCTGTTGCGCTCACGATAGGTTTCAAGGAGCATTTTACAATGGTCGAAAATACTCTTTCCCCCACTACATATACTTAAGCTAATCGTGTAGCCTTCTCATTTCAATCTTTTTATTATTCTCAATCTTTTTATTATTCTCAATCTTTTTATTATTCTCAATCTTTTTATTATTCTCAATCTTTTTTATTATTCTCAATCTTTTTATTACTCTACCTAGTGGTCGTAATAATTAACATGGTCGAAATGGTACACTACGAAAATGACCCTCTTTCACCCAAATTCTACCTCATCCTCCGATATATTAAGTTTTGGTGGTTCATTCATCATGTGGACCTACAACCTCTGGGATGGGTCCGTGTGGCATTTAAAGCCCCAGTAATTACTCTAGACTACCGGAATTGCTGTAGGAGAGTGGGTTTA